AAGGTGGATGGGTGGGAAAAAAGTCATTTACCATCATAAATGACAAGCAGGCTGATAGGTCCAAAGATTGTTTCTCCAGTATTGTTCTGCATTTTTTAGTCATAAACTGATCCTTCTGGCAGTTCTGTCTGGGATGCTTTTGTATGTTTCTCACTACTGATCAACTATTTTTGCCCTTATGAAGCATTGAGATAGTTTTCACATAATTCTAGCCCTAGCTGCAATCCAGTCCAGTGATAAAATGTGTAATACTGAACATTAGAGGAAATAAAGACATCTCTAATAGGGGTTTTCTTGGGAATATAACAGTGATGATTATGTAAAAAGAAATAACATTTTATTGGATTGCTTAGAAACTGCACAGCGGATTAAAAAAGCAGTCCTAAAATGTAGATAGAGTAAAAATTCACATAAATAGTAGCAAAATTAGGGCACTTGAGTCTATATCAACATGCTCTGTAACAAGGAAATTATCTGTTTGGTTTTATTTGCCTGAGAAAAGTGTACTTCAAACACTTTTCTTGAATTCATGTCAGGGGTTTGGTGTTGGTTTCTACGAACAGATGCTTATGGATTATTCTTTTTCTTCACCTTCTGATGTTTGCATTCTGGTTTTTAATCCAGTTCTTGAAATAAATAATGAATGCTAGCACGGCCAGAGGCAAAGGGGTGACCAGGGATGGCCGTGGGCACCACCCACTGAAGCATAGTCGTGTATCTTCTTGATCCAACTTCAGAGCCACTCATCCAGCAGTGATAACCAGCACCGGTCAGTCGGGGAATAGGAGGATGCACCTGGAAACACAGCAGAGCAGATGCTGGAACAGAAGAAAGGCTTTCTCATTTAGATCACATAGATTTTCAATGAAAATCAAACATAAACACTGGAGGCAGATAAAAGAAGTGCTGAGGGGCAGACAATCAGAACATATTCCCGTTTCTTTTTATTCAAAGCAACTTCCAAAAACACAGGATTATTCCACTTGGAGAATGTGGGGTGTGTTTAGACCAAAGACACTTTGACAATGACCAATAGAAACCTGGACTTGAACCACAAACCTTCCCATTGGTAGGAAAGTTGTCCATCTTTAGCTACAGCCGCCCTCATAAACACATGTATTTATTCATTTTTGAATGCAATTTCCCCCAAAAATTAAGGAATAATTTAGAATACTAAATATAATATGACTATATAAATATGTGTATTTACCAGAAATAAATCTGCCTAATATTCAAGGATAGATAATCTACTGAATAATTGAAACTGGGCCATGCAACGCTTACCTGTAATTTCACCATTTTCCAGTGCAAAAAATATGATTATTGATATGAATATATTTGGCACCCTGTCATAAAACACAACATTCATGATAGCTCAAGTAAAAAAAATAAAGATAAAATATGGTATACCCTTCAGCTTTGTGTTGTGCAGGAAAAACAGTACTGAGGTAGACTTTGTGTTCCATCCCAGGGAGACTTACAGTCTCGGCCTAGCCGCCTCCATAAAACACTTTGTGGCTGCCAGTAGGACATTATGCATACTTTGTATGAGGGAGTTGGCAGGGGGGTTGTTTAATGTCCAGTCTGAGTGATTCAAACATTTGGGTTCCCAAATCTCTGCAGTGCATTAATACGGCAGTTACTTTAACCCATAAGAACTCAGACCCCATTTTTCAGACCCCGTGTGTCACTTTGGATGCTTGTGGGTTAAGCGTTCCTGCCTCACATTCCTGAAAACATTAAGAATATGTGAGTGTGAGCGGTATGTTTGCGAAGTGGAGCACAGCCTGGTGTGCACTACACATTTTATTTCATTACCGGCAAGTGACAGTTGCTGGCCACTTATATGGAAACTGAATGAGAGGCGTGTTTTTACACAGGTGCAGAGAATAAATAGAAGAAATGCCAAGATTGGGTCCATCACGTCGATGAAGATGGACAAATATTGAAGGGATACTAATGGAGTAAATTGATTAGCAGATGACAGCCAGGTGGAGCAGAAATAATCTGTTGAAAAATGACATCCAGCTCGCCCATTTTGTATTTAGAGTATGTTTGTGAGAGCAAGTATACATTAAAAAAAACAACTAACAAATTGTGCTTTATGCGATTTCCGCATTGATTATTAATTTACAACCTCACGCACGGTTTTGTGAAGTCATTTGTTTTATCCCTAAACCTATAACAGAGATTCTTCTCTTTCACTTCTCTTTCATGCAGTCATCCTTTGACCTTGGTGTTTTAAACTACCTGTAATATAACCTGTCATGACTAAGAGGTGATGATATAATCTAGGTGTCCTTCCACAGCCGGCCCGGTGATAACTTCTCCAGGTTTTTTTTTTCTATTATATTGTTCACATCCAGGGCCAGAGCCTGTTAATTCTGCTTTACGGCCCGAGTGGAGAACTCTAATTTTCAATTTCCATGATCACTTCATTCTGTAAAAGCCTGTAAAATGCATCTCATGTTAGAAAGTGAGATTTTTATTAGGGTGTTTGCTTCAGAGTTAAATATCACCAACTTGTAAGAGAGCACTCTCTGTCATGCGCTGGAATACTGGCCCAAGTCTTTGCCAGGCGGAGGGAAATATTCAAGAATCAGTCAGCTTTTCTCATGGCAGACTGGAAAAGCCATGCTCGCTTTTTGAGGTTTTCCATTTAACAATATCTGAAGTTAATAGTTTCACTGCTGCTGTAGGCCACGAAAGATGTAAAGTAATAAACTAAATGAAGAAAAACAGCCTTAATCATTATGATTTTTTGGTTTATTTGTTGCATTTTAGCAACTTTACACCTCAGATCAGATCAAACTTGACTTAGAAATAACTTTCTCCATCACCGAAACTGACATAAAAAATCTATATGGTACAAAATATCAAAGCTGACTTCTACTGTAATGAACAACCTATTGGTCACTGACTGGCACTGACTGTTGCTGATCGCATTTTCCTTTTCAAATCTTCAAACACGCTTCGGCTCCTGAGCCACAACTGCCAGTTGAAGTCACGTCAGTAAGTGCAGTTAAAGAGGAGAGGAGTGGAAGTCATGTTTGATGTTGTGTCTTCTGCCTGAGAGGAAATGCAGGAGCGGATATGCTGTTGTGCGCTCACAACAGTTGTCGGCTGTCAGCAGAGTTCACAGTTGAGAATGAGAACAAATTTCCCTTCTTGTAGGCTTGACGAAAGTCTGGGGATTTAATAGGGCACTGATGGACAAAATGAGCCTTTGTATCTTAAGTTTACTCTCAGGTCAGTTTTGACCTGAGAACAGTTTCAGTGTTTCCACCTTTTGATGCTTTCTACTTCCTCTCCACTGTATTTTTGTGGCAAATGTTCCTGATTTAGTACTACATACCTTTTCAGTTTAGTTAATACTGACTGTGCTTATAGCATACAATTAAACTATTATTTTAATTTATAACAGCTACCAAAATAAAGTTAATAAACTTTGACTGACTGTTTTCTTTGAAAAAGGCTGATTTATGCTTTTGGAATTGTTTTCAAAGATCTATTTTCTTCTTCTTTTTCTTCTTTCCGCCACTATTCAGTTTTCACCTTCAAATCATTATTTATTGTACATGAAATTACCCTGGATGCAACATGTGTAGTTAAATGATAATGATGAAAACTATATTGGTGGAAAATGTGTCTTTGTTTTAAGACCAGTTTCCGCCTGACTATGAACTAAAGGAGGAATTTGACAAATCATCTCCAACACTTTTTCAGACATTTGCGCTGTAGGGTTTTAAGTTTCTTCTTTGCTGGGAGATATCATTTGTTTTCAGTGTTGCAATTTCCATCACAGAAAAAGCTTCCATCTTTTAAGACTCTAAATCAGTAACTTGAATGTTTGCCATTTGTGCAGTCTACAGTTATATTTCATTTAAAAACAAATGTTTGAAAAATAACTGTCCAACCGCGTCTTTTCCGATACCACAAAGCTCTTAATATATCATTCCTTCCAAATTAATACAAAATGAAAAGGATACAGTACTCCTATGACATTTCTGGGGGATCGATTTAAACCATTTTACTTTTCCAAAACCACAGAGAGTTGCAGTTGAGGATTATTTTGAGAAATGTAATGACATTCAGCTTTGTTCGGATGAAGAAATTTTAGATACACAGATGAACTTCAGACGCAATAAATTCACAAAAAAATGGCCTATAATGCTGATTAAATGAGCTCTCACTGCCCACGGTTGTTTCAGTTTCACTGAGAGTTATGGCCACAATACAAAGCATTATTTGCATCTTAAATCTTTTTCCTCTGCATAAGAATCCTATCAGAAAAAAACGCACCAACTATTTTATCTCCAAAATATGAAATGCAAATTAAATGAACACCAGCATGAAAAAACTGAGAATACAACGACAAAAAAGACGAATCGGTGTCTAAGAAGTTATGTTTTCACATTTACATTTATGCATTTTGCAGAAACTTTTATCCAAAGCGACTTACAAAAAGACAATTGAACATTAAACTACAAACCCTTACCTTGAGTGCAATATGCTAGAAGAGGATTTAACATTAAAGATTTAACATTCAATGACATAGATTACACAAGTACCATACATTGAGTGCTATATGCTATTAGAAAATAAGAGATACTCTTAGAAGAGTTAGGTCTTCAAGGGTTTCTTGAAGGAGGAAAGGAGGAGAATCTGAATCATTCCACCAGTTGTGGAACGGCAAATGAGAAGAGTTTGATTGACCCCTTGGCCGTGTTAGTTGGCGCTCCATGGAGGAATGGAGTGGGCGAGCGGTGACATGGGGCTTTTAAGTGGGTGTTGAGGTAGATGGGCGAAGATCCATCAAACACTCTCTGGGCCAACGTCAGTGATTTGAATTTGACACGAGCAGCCAAGGGAAGCCCCATTTTTTTCATCACTCCCTCCTCACACAGAGTTGTCCACATGCTTGGTTGATGTGACCATTTCCACATTTGACTTGGATTTTGGAAAAGTCTTGGAAACTAATGAGAGGTGTCTATCCACAGGAACCATGGTGGTACAAGTGGCGGCCACAGATGCAGATGACCCTACGTACGGGAACAGTGCCCGGGTGGTCTACAGCATCATCCACGGTCAGCCGTATTTTTCAGTGGAGCCAAAAACAGGTAGGTGGGATTTTATGCCAACAATCAAACGCCAGACAGCGTGGAGCTCTCTGTATTCAGGTTTTGTCTGATTCAAAGTGGGTTCAGCTTGATAAGGCAATAGCACATATCTTCATGCATGAGTGTTTCAAAATAAGCCAGAGTGAGGTCCTCATATTTAGAAAAAAAAAAGTCCCAAAGAAAGTATGACTGTCTTTGTTTCACTATGAACAGATCCTCAATACCAAAAAGGTTTTGTGGTGGAATGAAATGGAATTTCTTCTATTATAAACACATATTACACAAAGTAGACCAATCACAAACATGTTGAATGAGGGGTATTTTACCTTTCTACATTTGGAGGTTAGCAGTCCCATAAATACTATTATGGACATATTGTTTTATCTCTCTATATGAGTTGTTCTTGATGCCGAAAATACTTAACTTTTCATTTAAACTTTGTTTCTTCCCACATTGTTCGTACTCGTGAGTCCCTCGATGCCGCCACTGAAAACACAATGCACACTTTAATTTTGTCACCAGCAGATAGCACCTTTGCACTAAGCCTCGGGATAATGAGGCAGCAGCTCCTGCGAGTGCTGGCTGTTGGTATCATAAAGATATTGGTTCGAAATTAGAAAACAGCGGAAATTCTGTAAAAAAGGGATAAAAAGGCTTTAAGATGAGATGCGAGTTTGTTGACTTGTGGGGTGTTTTATCCTGAGAAAAGTGCAACCCTCGCCACATCTTTATATCCGGCTCATTAGCCACTGCCCTGCCGAGGCTCAGCTACCTCATGCAAAGCACTCTTGCGAGAAAACAGAAAAATATCGGCCATCCCATAATATCAGGCTTCATCCTCTGCTCCAGCGGCAACACATACACATATTACTGCTGTTTTATGAATGTAGTTCCAATTTATGAACTAGTGAAAGCCACTGCAATGCAGGGATTTATGCTGCTTATTTTTCACACTCAGGCAGACACAGAAATAAGTGGGATGCTCAACAAAACAAACTCCTCTGTGACCTGGACGCTTCCCCGTCAACATCCAATAAGCCTAACCGATAGAGGACAACGGAGCGTTCCGGAAAAATAAAGTATATTACAAGAGAAGAAAATGATTTCTAAGCGCTTTGGTGTTATGGATGTGGTGTCTATGCTGGAAAAGAGGTTGTGAGCACCAAAATTCATCAAGATGTTGAGCTGTGAAGCCTGCGCCCTACCAGAGAATTCCTCGTCTGTTTTTCCATTTCTGCAGACCTCCAGTTAATGAAGCCTCCTGCTGAACCTTTCATTAGTGAACATTTCTGTGTTAACATGTTTTTTTGGGGAATGTTTTATATACTCTAAATGAAAAAGTTTCTTATTGGGACTCTGTAAGCTCCATCAGTTCCTGTGGGACCTTTCTGGGAAAGTGAAGCTTTCATTATAAGTGAAGTTCTTCAAGTTACTTAGAAGCTAAAACTGCTGTGGGTTAATTAATGCATTAAAATGCTGTGATCACCTTCCTTTAAAGGAAGCTTGTTTGGCTCATCGAGTTAATCAACATCTCTTTTTTTTCAGTATGTTTTAATGCTATGAACGTGGCTAGAAGTAAATCACAAGATTGGGATTGATCAGGCCTTTTCTCATGGTTTAAGCCAAAAGACAACAAAATCAGAATAAATTACCTTAAATGCGTTAACAAGACACATCAAGTCCAATTCTGATATCACACACAATGAGATATAATTCTTAATGTAATTTTGCGCAAGCACAATGAGTAGTCATTTTATATGATTTGTAATAGAGATTAATATTGATTTGGCACTGAAATAACTGATCTGGCGAGACAAAATTGTGAGCTATGGTTGATAAATGGTGTTTTTAAGAGACAGAGGCCCTTTTAGCATTGAATCTTTGGCTCTAACATGGCCCACATCTGCATTTGATTTGCACACTGAATGATGCTATTTACCTGGATTTAGCACATTTCCACAGGCGTGCAATAAATATACACTTTCTTTGGGGCCACTTAAAACTTTCCTGTGTTATAAATGAGCTGTAAGTGCCATCAGTGGTCCGGTCTAGACCTATCCATCGGCTAATCAAGGAGCAAATGTCTGTTTGAGTTGGTTATTTTATATATTTTAACATTCTTTACTTTTAACATGCTTAATTTTAGTGCTCAATATGAGACATAAGGTACATAATTTCTCCAGAGATGGCTGAAAACATTTTCCTGAATTCACATTTTTTTTAATAATACTTAACGTTTGCTTGATGTGAAAAAGAGGACCTCATTATAAAAGCACAATAATTACCATTTAACCTCCGTGACTCTATACCTCTACATATAGACTCTGCAGCCTCTATATATTATCTGCGGAAGAAGTTGCAAACAGTTTCCTTTTTCTTTCTCTCGCTTTTAACTAAATGCTTTTCAGGATCAATTATGCAAAGTCGAAGCCGAGAGTACAGAAAACGCAACAAATTCCCACATCGGTACTCTTTCCGTTGGACTATGGCAGGTTTATTAACCTGTCAAACCGGAGCACACACAAACACGCGCGCGGCTAAACGCTCGCCCAGATTACAGCGTTTTGGGAAGCTGCCAGCACCAGCAGCTCATTGCTGCCCATCCCCTGTCCAACCACAACTTGGCTTCTTTCCACTCACGCAGAAGGTGATGGGATCTCTTGGCTATGAGATGCAATATTGATGTCAGAATCTGATGTTATGGATCGCCCATCAGAGAAGTGTGACTTCAGGTGAGAGTGGATGCAGGGAAGCATGGAGACATTTTCTCTTGTTAGACGGGAGAAAACTGGATCATGACTCAGTAAAAACCGATGACTTACTGCGTAAAACGATAGGAATCCGGCAATGTGTTTAATGCTGTGGAGTTCATTCATGTCTGTAATATTGGGGATTTTTTATTTTTCCAGAGAAACTAATGAGACAAAAGCTGTAATTAAGAGAAATGTGATGAAGTGCTCACCTTGCTACCTTCATCTTCTTTTAGATACTTTTCAAAAGGGAGCACCTCGGGGAAATAAAATATTTATGCCGAGGTAAAAAAAAAAAAAAAAAAAAAGCCCAGCTGGTTTCCTGTTGTGTCATCATCTTTGAACACTGAGGCATCTTTTAACAAACTTGCAACCTCCTGTATTTCTTTTTTTTTCATTTATGGTCCTCGTATTTGATTTTTTTCTCTGAAGAATCTCACCGGCTGAATAATATATCTAAAAATACCAGCTGGTGAGCTGACTAGTGATCCCACAGACACATCTAAAAACCGACAGAGCCGGTGGAAATACCGCCACTCGCCTCTGGCTCCTCAAACAAAGTTTGCGAGAACATTTGCACCCACTGATGACTCTTGAATGAGATTTCATTAGATCAATATCAATTAGGGTAAGAGCAGACATTTTCATAAATGATGTTCAAACGGCATGTCTGCCCCATAAAGTCCCCATTATTCTCATATCATGTTTTTTAGACTCTCAGCTCAATGACTGGAGCGCGTACTTTCAGGGCCTCGGCAGAGGAGTTTCATTAAGCTAAGTGGATTCTTTGAATCCCGAAGGTTGATATTTAGAAAGCTTTAATGGTTTATGATTGCTCGCTTTAAGTGGCCCGTGTTCCTCCGCATTGGAGCTTGATAATCAGCACGGTCGAGCCCGTGTGTGTGTAAAGTACGTTCACAAAAGGCCGTCCTGCTCAGTGTACGCACGAGGAAACCGGCTTGTCAAAGTGAGCCGTCACGCGTCGGCTTAACGTTTGTGCTTCGTTCAGTTGTCAGTACGTTACGATGTCTGTTGTGTCATCTTCAAGTCTTAAGTGTGACATTCAAATGCAGATGTGTGTAGGCATCCATTCGCACCTTTACACCCCGTCAGTTCCTTGTTTTGATTCCAGAAAATATTGTTTGGGCTTTTTGTCATTTTATTGTAAGAACTTCATTAATTCGACATCACGAAATTGGACTATGTTGACGTTAAAGAACACAACTACATAGTGATTTTCTTTTAAATAAGACAATTATGAGAGGCAGACTTGTGAGGTTGTCTTATTTCGTCTGTTATAGCCATTAGGATGAATTCAAATTTGAATATGGACTGACTGGTAAATTGACAGGTTCAGCCATTGGCTAAGCTCTGCTTTTAGCATGACATATTGACCATCATCAAGCTGCCCTGTCCCGACTCGTACCTCTTTTAGTGAGAATACCACGCCATCGGACTTGGAGTGTTTAATCTCAACCTGGATGCTTCACACTCAGCTGTAATCTGCCCTAAAGTGCGCTGAAGTGTCTTCAGTGGGATCACTTTATCTCAAAGATCTAAGATGCCATCTTATGCCGACTGAACTGGAAACGCTTTGTAGCACCACAAAATTCTGTCTGTGAAGATTATGATCATAATCTATTTTAAAGAATAACTCCCACTGTAACACATAACAGAAACAGAGCCAACATACTATTAGCAATGCAAAGTAAGGTCTTAGAACGATAACACAGGGACCACAGTGAGAAGCCCTTTTGCCTTTAGATAATGTATTCATATGCTTTACTCCCTCTGCACCATCTGTGACAGTCTTTGTTTGTCATCCGATCTGAGGAGGCTAATGCTCATTGTTTTTAAAGATATAGGTCTGAAGAATAAGGTGCGTAGGCCACATACAGTGGAGTCAATATGAGATTTTAGTTGTACATTTAAACACAGACAGAATAGCAGCATCTTGTCAAATGAATGCACTTTGGTGTAAAAAAAAAGATGAGAGAAGTCTACGGTGCTTTGTGGATCAGATAGCGCTCTGACATGGCTCTAAACCTTCACGTCAAAGAGAGAAGGACCCACACGCAAAACTGCACGCACCGTCACTTTTGTAGCGGCAAAAAACAACACAGAAGATTTTCTTTGAATGGTTGCAATGAAATAGAAACCTTTAAAATCGCGTATGCAAGAAAATCTGCAGGAGTTCTCACATATCAATGCATTCTTGCTTATGCTTAGAGTGAGCAGATCAACAGTGATCTGTACTGATGTGTAAGCAAGGTTTAAAGTAACTTACTTCATGGCTCTGTTGTAATTATGCTACTGATACACACTAATTAAAGCATTCAACATTTTTGCTGATTACCACTTGTTGCTGTGGTGGCTGTTTGCAAAAGTTATGCCCTCACAGTAATGAAAGTTGGGAGGGGTAAAAGGCATTGAGCCTTGAAATTGATAGTGTAATTATTCTTAGTGTCGGGGGGGAAAGAGGGGGGATAACATCAGCTGATAACAGTCCAATACAACAGCGCTGCAGATTTTTGTGTTAACAAGTCGCTCAAAATAAACACAAAAGCAAAAAGTAAGAAATGTTTCTTCTAAAAAGATGCTTTGTTGAAGACAAAATCTATAAAAGAGATTACTTTTGAGAATTCATGACTGAAATTAGTTTGGATTTTGAAATATTATGTATCAAAACACAGCATGCTTACACTTTTAAGTCACACAACACCTTTAAAGTGAGTCAAGTTGTGATTCATTACAGCTGTATTCACAATTCTAATGACAGATTTCTGCTATCCCATGCCTCGCCGTCTCAAAACGATACTCTAGAGGTATTAAATACTTTGCTCTGTTCAAACTGCCTTTAAAAAAGGGCCGCATTGTTTCTGTTAACTGTTAAGTCACTTACACAAAGTCAATAAATGTGTCCTGCAGAATACACTGTGGGGCTGAGACACCAGCTTTTAGTCAGCAGCTCAGGATTGAGTGTTGTGTAATGAGCGTTGCGCCTCTGCCTTTGTACGTTTCTAATTAGTCCCATTTGTAGCTCACGCCTGGACCATAGCGTCGGCTGACTTTGACAAAGTACCCGGGCTGAAATACACTCTGAGCTCCACGGTGCAATACTGCGCTAGCGATTAAATGGCAGAGGGCTAATGGTCAGGGGGAGAGAAGCCTGCAACCCGGCATTAGGTGGATCGCATCCTGGGTTCTTTTGCGCCTAACAAGTGTCTTAACTTCGGTTCCTAATCCCAAATTGAATCTACAAGGTGCCTTTGGGGAAAAGCACTTAATCCCAAATAGATCCCACATCTTCTAAGCGGGGCGTAATACCGGCGAAAAAATAAGTTACTGTGCCTAAAAGTGCTCGGTTAATATATATTGATTGATTGCTTACGGTTTGGTCTCAAGGTGAAGCTGCGATGGTAATGCTGTCAAGGACTGTGTTCTAATTGATGAAAGGCACAAGGAGGCCTGAGCAGCTGCCTCCAGCTCCACACACCTTGGAGATATGGAAAGTCCTTCAGAGACAATTATTCATGCGTATTAGCACCTGCTAAGCATGCATGCATGCTTAGCAGACCCCATTCGCATGCATAACAAGAGGAGAATTTAGCGTGCGGGAAATGCCAGGTGCCTAATTGAGAGGATCAATTGCATTGTGAGAGGGGGGAGCTAAGGTGTGACACAGCATGGCTCTCGAAAAAACGACACGGCTACGACATCCGAATTTGACTCACTCAGCCGGAGCCAGCCTCAACTTGACTGAGCTTTGTCTCTTCCCGGACTAAGAGTCTAATTAAACTGAGATTTCCCCAAATGAAAGGGAAAGGCCACGTCCAATCCTTGTGTACTCAACGGCTGCGAGGCGAAGAGGGGATGGGATTGCATTGATCTGGCCGC